GTTTATTTTAGCCGCTGTTCAGGCCAGGTTGCCAGCCAAGCCCGTCCTTCGCTGCCAGACCCAGCCAGATGGGGATAATTAGGCCTGGATTAAGTTAAAGCTTTAACTCTTTCAAAGGCAGCAATGTTGCACAGCCCCTCGGCAGCTCCTCTCCAGCTCCCTCCCCTCCCTGCTACTCATCCCATTTAATTTGTTCCTTTACAGGTACGTGTTTCTGGAGCGCCAGGGAAATCTCCACGCAAACCGGATAAAAGCATTTTTTGCAGATTACTCACGCCCACAGCTGCCGCCAGCCGAAAAGATCCGGCACAGAGCAGTGCACTGCATCCCTCCTTCCTCCGTGGGAGGGACCTGGCCACAGGGGATCTGAGCAGCACCCGTCTCGGGGGGCTGCAGACCCCAGGGCCGGACTGTCCTGCTGCTTTTGGGACATGGGCAGAGAGACGCCACGTTAGCAGGAACCACAGCCAGAAACCAGGTTATTTTTGCAGTCAAGAATCCATTAAATGCCAAACGCGCCGGTATTACCCATTCAGAAGCGGTTTTCCCGAAAAGGTCCTCAACTCAGCCCGAGACGCTCACTCACCTCTGCGTGACCCACCAACCTCATCTTCACTCAGGAGCAAATCGCTGCCCCAACAAAGAGCTGGGGGGCAGAAAAAAAAGTTCCTCTCGTCTTTCCCAGCAGGGGACAGACCAGGGTAACGAGAGTCGGGCAAGGTGGTAACAAGTTCCTCCCCACTTTCATCCCATTTTAGCCTCTACCCGTACCACAACTTATTTAGACAGAGCAGGGCGACACATTCGAGCTAGACCCAGAGCAGCGCTCGAGGTGTTGAACTTGAACCATAGCAACGGGGTACGCGGCCAGAGCCGGAATAAAGCAGCGTCCCCAGCCGCAGAGGGCTGCACGGGGCCATCACCAAGGCGAGCTGTGAGGGCGCAGAGACAAGTGGCGAGCAGCTGACTCCCTCCAGCGGCTGTATCTGCAGTCACCCAGGGACAGAGAGAGGATTTTCTATCTTGCTCCTTCCTCCGTCTCCTTGACAAGCGGAACACCCAGAGACACGGGTCAGCCACAGCGCCAGGGAGAGAACCACCGACACGAGCTCCTCCCCACACCACGGGCAGCCCAGGGTTATGGCTACTGTGAAGTTATGCTCATGCCACTGCAGATCGTTCCCCGAAACCCGGAGCTAACCGAAGGCTAGGCTTCGAACGGAGAACCACTTCTGATTCAAGACAGAGGGTGCTTTCGATGGTAACCACCCGCAGCTTCTATCAGCCGTGTCCAAGTCAACGCAGGCTGAGGAAAAGATTCAAACCAAAGCAACGCTTTTAATAGATATTTATTAAAAAACACCAAAATACAAACTGAAAATATAAAACATTATCAAAACCGGACACACTGTAGTATCTACACCGGACACCTGTCCAGGGTCCCTCGGAGCTCTGTAGCGCCCAGGGCTTCTGTGACCGCACCCGACTCTTGCCAGTCTCCATACGCAACAAATCCCACGATGGAGTCTGAGGTCCCCAAGGCTTTAGGCGTAATCGCACTCGAACGCGTACTCCCTCCTCTTGAAATGCTTCTTCTTTTTCAGCTTCCCAGACCCCAAGATGCTGTAGTTATAATCGGATGTGACATAGGGGATCTCTCCCTCAACTCCTTGCTGAAAAGAGGAAAAACAAAACCAGAAACAACTTTAAGAACTTGTATCTTCAACAGAACAGGAAGCACTTCCCTCTGCAGACTGGCAGAGCGGACTGGCGGAGGAGCAAGCCATCACCGAACAAAGCCCGCTCTGGTATCTGAAACACAAGAGCGTTCTCCTCTCTCTCACTTCTATGCACTAAGGACAATTTCCTAGCAAGAGAACCATCTGCTAACGCCCAGACATCTCCGGGCACGCACAAGCCTCAGAAGTAAGAAAATGGAAAACCTGCCAACCAGCCTACGCTCAGCCAGCTTCCACCCTCTTCCCATGCAGCTCCTCCCACCTGGCCCACAAGAATGCAGTTTGGGATAGCAATATTTCCAAGGAGCAGACAGTTCACTAGTCTCAGGTTCTCCGGAGGCACCGGCGTCAGAATGTGGTAAAGCTTCTTCTCCATCTCAACTCCTCGGACAATTCCTGGGGAAAACACAAACAAAAAACACGCAAAGTTCAGCCTTAACTCCACCCAATCATTTTGGACTGTACAACCAGATGCAGATGAAGCTCTCTGAATAAACGGCTCTTCCAGAACCAAGAGAAGGATTTGAGACGCATCCTGAGAAAAACCTGCATTGCTGCATCCCGCTTTTCCAGCACCTCAGCGTACAAACGAACAGCTAACTTCCCAAACCGCCCATCCTTGGCCACTGGCACATGCCTACAGAAACTCGAGGAGCTCAGTATCAAACTCCAAGTCAGAACTGTAATAATAAATCAAGTTGTAGAAGGAAACTGACAGACAGACAACCAAAGGAATTTTGCACAAGCCACCCATGTGGAATCTGCTTTTGAGAATGTGAACCCAGAAAGCAAGTAAATTGTCAAGTTACGGAAGAGTGAGAGAAGCAAGCTGCAAAAGGCGCCGCTCAGTGACATTCCCCACAGCTGTTACCACAAGTTAATGAAAAGCAAAGGACTTGGAGCAGAGCTAGTAACAGAAGGGAATACATGATTATTCTTTTATCTCATCCCATTTTTTCAGTTGTTTTCAGAAGAGTAGGCAATCCCGTCACTCTACAACCTGTCTGTCAAAACACAACAGGCAAGAACGCAGCTCGAGGTTTCCCGGGCTTGCTCACCGAAGCCAAGGCAATCACAGACCGGTGTCTGTGTCAGCAAGACCGGCCCGTCAGTTTGGCATCTGATTTCTTCGGGTATCCTGCAGAGCCCGACCCAGCTGGCGTTCACTGCATACATGACGTTGGAAGGAGCAACATCGGTGTGAATAACCCTGAGTGCAACAGCACTGAAAGGTACCTGAGGCGGTAAAACAAAGAAGAATAAAACCCGTTATCGTTAGCTCAACATCAATTTCGTTTGAGTTCAGAGATAAGATAATGCTAAGTACATAAAACCTGAAAGCTCCCAACCCATACCTATGGATAGACGTTATCTCAGTGGCAAACAGAACAGTTTCAACACTAACAGAACACACAGAAAACACGTGCTACGCTGACATCTCAACAAAACCCTCCCTTCTAGATACACTGAACAGTCATCATCATTTGCAGGTTACAGAGCGTTTCTCCCTCTTCCGAAAAACATTTGCAGCACCAGCAGAACAGTCAATTACTACGACCTGGGTGCTCTGCAACATCTCCAAGCCTTTCAAAAGCGCTCACTTACCTGATACGGCACAAGACTGTGCAGGGGAAGCACTGCCCCTATGTCTGGGGACTGCAGCTGACCCAGGTAACCCAGTATGGACATGTCACGCAAGATGCCACTATGTACTCGCCTAGAAAAAGAGCCGCGACAAATCAAGGACAGGCAGCACGCCCTCACGCAGTGATTCAAACCAGACACCCCGGACATTCCCGAGTACGCCATGCAGTATCAGACGCTATTTCACACAAGTCTAGTTTTTAAAACATCTACCGCTGAAGAAAATTTAGAGCTATGTTTTTATTACCTCTAAGGGATCACAGGCTTTAGGGCATTGTTTCAACTTTAAAAAGGCATTAATTAACAAGGGTGGGCTTTTTTTTTTTCAACAAAGTCTGTTACTAGATAATGGCTCCCTTCTCCAGCCCTGATGTCCACACCCCTTTCAGTCAGCCAGTCAGTCGCAAGACAGAGTAATACATTTGTTTTCTTAAATAGCTCAGTAGTGAAGGCCAAGTCAAAAAAAAGCACTTAAAATTGGCAACAAAGACCCAATGCCCAGGAAAATAAACATTTTTGAGATGCTCAAAGTTATCAGAGAGGTTAAGAAATAATGTGATCATCATCTAGGTCTGTAAGAAATGGGTAAGGAACCTCCCAATTCGAGAAAAAAGGAGACATAATATTCGACAGTTCCAACTGGAAGTCACGCCCAGCGTAAAAGTAAGTGACAGTAGTCACTGGGAGTAGAGAGGAACAGCCCTGCTCCAACCTAAAAAAACCACCCCACACAAAGCTCGCCCGAAACAAAATACCCAGAAAACACAAACAAACACCACCCAAGCATAACCCCCTAATAAGTCAACTAATAAGCTCTGAGCGATTTAATGGAGCTCTATAGGCCAAAGCAAAGCAAGAGCCTTTACTGTCAGGACTACGTGCGATTTTGTTAAGCCCCCTAATCACTACGTAGCACTAAACTTTCTACTTACGCTTCTCCTGCAACCCCTGCTCGAGGGAATTCTGGGTGGACGTACAGCAACTTATACTCAGGAGCTGATGCATCTCCCTCCCCTTCAGAGGGCTTCCAGGTCTCTGCTCCATTCATCCCCACCTGCTTGCATTTGACTTGCTGTTTGCCTTTGGTGTGCAGGCCAGGAGTGAGATGAATGTACTCTGGGGTGAGCGAAGCCATGGCCTTCCAGTCGTACACATCCATCTGAACAATGTGACTGGGTGACAACAGCCGAATGATATCAATCAGAAGCAGCAACCCTTCACCTTTAGGGAGCAGAGAAAACAGGATTGCTGCCACCACGTGAACAGGTCAGAACACCGTTATGGAAGACCAGTACTAGCTCAAGGGGGGCAAGCTGTATTTTCTGGTTCTGGACTCTCTAGAAAGCGTGGTGGTGTACTGCTACGATTATTACCTTCCTTCCGCACCACCTCTTGAGAAGAGATTTATCCCGTTTACCTTTCACCCAGCCCATGGTGTTGATGACTAAAGGCACTTCCTTCTTGTAGGAGCTGAACACGTACTTCACGACATCAAGGTATCTTTCTGTGTCCTGCTCGCAACTAGTCTGTCCATAATACACCATCTTACATGGCGTTTGCTGGTGAGTGAACGGTGGACCTGAAAAAAGCAAGCAGCGAACCTCTAGTGGTTTCAGTAAGTCAAACCAAAAAACTCCCATCCCTGTAGTGCCTACATGCAATCCTGTCCAAAATCTGTCCTCTTTTCACGTGCAAACAGACCTTGTACAGCCTGCACCTTCAGAGAAACTTTTCTGTCACTTGCAAGACTCCGTGCTAGGAGTTTTGTTTGTTTGGGGGCTCAGGTCTTTTTCTTGTTTGTTTCTTTTACAACACTGGTTACATGTTTGTGAATTTCAAAACAACAATCTTCTATGACAAACTATCCAAACAGTAAACCAGTCTGGCCATACCCTTTTCAGACAGTGACCCAAATCTGCAAGACCACAAATACCAGCAATTTCTCTGGCTCTAGTTTTTTTTATGCGCAAAACAGCTGCCCCCAGCCCAAGTGGATCTACTTCGTATTTCTCAAGCTAGTTCTATCTATGGATATTAAAAAGTGGGAAAGACTTTCCCAAAGAGACCTTTCAAATCTGAAAGGCTGAAAATCCACTTTGACATGCTACAGCCTGTTCCACCACCCTATAAACAACTATCTTCTCTCTTTAAAACAGAAAAAACAAGCAGGGAGAATAGCTCCGTGCTACTTAGCGAGATTTTCATGTGGAGCTTAGATGCCCCTAGCAAGAAAACTTTTACAACCTTTGTCAAAGGTGCATATAGAAAACAGATGTGGCAACTTCCCTGAAGTACAGCCTCTACTCAGAGAGCACCTTCTGGAAATAAAATGTTTTTTTCTGACAACTGCAGAAAATGGGAAAACACATACCGAGAATTGGCTCTGTTACGTTACTTAAAGACACGCATCCAGGCGGCGTAAATTCGGTTTGACCTATGTCACATTCCATATATTCAACCGAGGGAAGGCTGCAGTGAAAGAAGCCCATATATTAACGTCCACTAAAAAAAGAAACAGGACACGACCTGGAACACATCAGAAGCACAATCCAATTTTGTTCCGGGTCGTTAAAATTAAATTCTTTAACACAGTCAAACCACCCCTTGTCTCTCTCCTTCCCCCACTTGAGGGAGTATTAAGTGAGAATGTAAAAGGCTCACCTACAATTCAATATTACATCACAATAGCTCCATACCCATCCAGCCTTCAGAGAAGTAGCTAGAACAATAATCGGAGGGGTACTAATCAGTGTACCACCTCTCCTACATTAACTGGGCACCCTGAGACCAGCCATTTGAGATTTATAAACTTTACAATCTTTATTTTAAGCATGCAGTGGTCAGGAGAGTAAACTTCTACACCTCCCTCTGCCAAGAATCTTCAAAGACCCTGTGTGTCTAAGTGTTACAACTCCCAGTTCCTTACTGAACCCTAACCGCTTGGTGCCCAACTAGTTCATATACTCCAAGACAACAATTTAGTAGTATTTCAACAGAAATGTTTCAGTAGTCAACTTTTCTGAGAACCTAAGACAACAATGCCTATTTTTCTGGGATTTTTGTTTGTTTGTTTTTAAAAAATAAGCCACTTTCCAGTCATAACAGTTTTTCTGAGAATCTTGACAGGTAGTTTTTTTTCCTCCCTCTAAATCCCATGCAGTACGTGGTACTTAAGAGCTTGTAGAACATGAAAAAACTCACCGATTCAGCAACAGATTAATTAGGTATCTGTTAAATGTCGATTTTCCAGTGTTTTTTGGGCCACACACCAGAACCACAGGGACACCTTCATCTTCCGCTGGAAAAACAAACACACTCTGAAACGGACCGATGCTGTCAGTTATTCGGATGGGCCCTGTTTACATAATATACCCCCTACAGACTCTATGGCCTGATTAGGATTTATTTTAATTAAATAGAAAAAAATTCACTAAAGAGAAGCATGCTAAGAGTCCAGTGCAAAGGGAAAAGGCTTCTGAAGTGAGAAGCAAGCCATAGCACTAAAACCCAGCACGTATGAACTCCAGTTGCTCACTGTATTTTAGATGTTGCTGGGTAAGGAAGGGCTTTTTTTTTTTTTCTACCTGCTCCAAAAGAGAGCAAAACAAGAGTTCTGACGTCAGACTGGGAAGTGCTTTTACAGCAGCAAGCTGCCTGTTTGGCAGCACAGGCACAAGCCCACTCGAGGTGATGCATGAGCTCAAGACTCACACTATTTCAGAGAAAAACACGACCCTCAATCAGTGCCTGTCACAGGGTATGCTCTCCCTAGCTTTATCTCATGAAAAGCCCCATGAATTTCTTCTTCGGGATACTAAAGCCCCCAACCTCACCAAGCGCACGCCACTCACCACAGCACGCTTGGATCAGCTCCTCCAGGGCCAGGAACATGCTCTCCGACACCAGCAGCCCGTGGTCGGGGCTACACTTCACAATGCCAACAGATGCCAGAACCGCATCTTCTGGTGTGAAGCTGGATTCTTCCTTTTTCTATGAGAGAGCAGGAAAACACTTGGAGAGGTATGCGTGAGGCCTTGTATATGTGTTGCTGGACACCGACAGGCACGCTAAGCGGGGCGGCCGCCTCTTGCTCCGCACAAGGCCTGTTTTGGGGAAGGCGCAGCACCCACACTACTGCCCTGGGCGGGGCAGGCATCA